GCCTGGCTTGTTTCAAATGAGAAAAAGAGCAATGCTAAAAAAGCTAAGTGAATGCTATAAACTGACCATGGAAAATGCGAAAACATGAAAAAATCATTACACAATCTCCACATAAAAATATATATATACAACTTCACAAAAAATTTACATGTTCATAAAAGGACAGAAAAGTGAACATCACATAAATAGTAATTTAAGTCCCGATGGAAAACCAAAAGGAAGAAAATGATCTTGTTAGAAACCAATGGATGTCAACAGCAGACGTGGATCACAGAACGCCCTCCAATCCCAGCAAGTCAGCATATCACACCATCCAAGTGCAGCATTAGGGCTTACCAGAATAGAATGACCCCCAATGTGGTCAAACAACTCTTGATGTAATACGCATGGGTCAGTCACACCCCTCAGCTCAACAGCAACTCAGGAATAGACAATCCAACACTTCTGTATTAACACAAAAAATCCATGTGCCAGGATCCAAGATGGCCACAGGAAGTCATGCATACGTGGTTGGCATGTGTTCTGGCTCTGGCCTGTGCATTTCATTACAAATGACGTCATCAGGGGCTCATCTGCCCTGTCGTACATATGATTTAAGCATGCGATTAATAGAAATGAAAAAGCAAGTAAGGAAAGAAATTGCTAAGTCCCTAAAATAGTACAGTATCTTGGGCAAAACTAGCATCTTATAGAATGCTAATCTGCTTCCCTATGAGATCTGATTATTTGCTAAGTCTTTGAAGACCAGATTGTCTTTGATGTAGTACTGGTTCAAGTTAGCTTTGTATAATAAGGAAGAAGGGGCTGTTAAGGTAATCCACAAATATGGGAGGGTGTCATTATTCCAAGTGTATGCCAGGGTAGATTGTATATGGGTTTTAGTAGCTGTGTCTACTTCTATACTCAGAATATACAATTTCCCTTTATTAACCTTATAATAAGATACCTCATTAAAAAGTTATAGAACTCTACTGCACAAAGGGAAGGAACCAGGTCTCTATGTGATAAAATAACATCATCTGCAAAAGTACATGATTGTCAGTTTACTGTTATGACATGAATGTTTGCTTGCATTCTTGGTGTTCCTGCCAGAGGTTCCCTTAAGAGCATAAAGATAAGACGGTAGTGAGGGCATCCCTAGTGCATTCTGTTGGTGATCAGTGATGAGCCGACATCCCTGTGTTCGGTTTGTGGTCGAACATTTAAACTTATTAACGTTGGACAATGAACTTTGAACTCAATGCAAGTCTACGGGACTCAAACTTGTAAATTCAAAAGTGCCCATTTTCAAGGCTTATATTAAAGTTATTGGCCACAACAGGGGTATAGGGACTTGGGTACTGCCCTGAGGGACAAGAATCAGTGAAAAAAAGGTTTTCAAAAAGTACCGTTTCTAAAGGGGAAGCCATTTTTCATTGCTTTAAGTAACAAAAAAAATATGAAAAATGTCTTTAAATAACATGCCTGGAGGGTGAGGGTCCCCTTAAACTACCTGCAAAGTTGCATATCTATACAATGTATAGAAACTGCTGCAGTATGACTGACTTTTTTTTTTTAAATGAAATTTTAATTAAAATAAACAACAATAAAAACAGTGTGCCCCCCTCCAATCCATAGCAGACCCTTTAGGTCTGGTAGGAAGGATAGGACATGGGGACAATGGCCTCTTCCCCACAACCCTGGCCCAGTGGTTGTGGGGGTCTGTGGGCAGGGGGACTTATAAGCATCAGGGTACCCCTTTAAATAAGGGAGCAGCCTGATGCTGCCTCCCCTTTGTGAATGAGTAAGGGGTACTTTTACCTCTATCCAGTCACAAAAGGGTTACATTTAGAAAAAATAAAGACATCAGACTTTTGAAAAATTCCTTTACTTGACCGAAAAAAAAAAAAACCAACAGTTTTACATGAATGGCCAATATTTGAGTCAAGCTTATCTTCCACTTGAACATCACACCCATCCCTATTGGTGATAGAAAATGACCTAGAAAGGAGGTTGCCACTATATGCCTGAGTTGAGAGAGGCGTATACAGTGTCTAAATAGCTGAATTTTCCCACAAAGCCAAATCTTTCAGGAACAGTTGTTAGGCTATCCTAATTGACCTTTCGAATGTCTTGTTTTCCTCCATAGAAAGAAACAGAGAAGGAATCTGTTGCATATCTGAACATATGATGATTGAGAAGTTGTCTGCTGGCATCTGGGGCCCCAAGTTAAAACCAGCCCTGTCCCCCTGCACAAATAGTGTTGGAGAAGATTTTAAAATACATCTTTAAATCTGGGTTTAATAAAGAAAGAGTTCTAAAATATTGCAGCAACTCATTCCAGGTTTGGGTAAAGTGATTATGGTTGTCTTAAGCATCTCCAGAGCAAATAGTAGCATTGAGGGTGGCTAATAAATGTTGTATGTGCTGGAAAAGTTTATAGTATTCTCCAGAGACTCCATCTGGACCTGGGTATTTATAGTCAGACAGAGCATTAATCATTTGTTTAATTTCACAAGCTGTGAAGGGGAGTGTAGAGTATGAAGCTAAGACATAAAACACATGAAGAGAATATCAGACGAATGATCGTCCATTTTCTTTTCTTGCATACTAGTCTCAATAGTCTCATATTGAAAGTGAAAAGGTTACTAAAGTTACAAAAATTCTTGTATGACAGAATAAAAATTCAGAAGTGAACAGAATCAGAAATAGTGTCATGCTCCACTACCAATTGCATAAATTATGAGTGAATAAATATTGAATACATAAAAGTCCAGCATCAAAAGAATATATGTCACAATATCACTGCAATTATATTGCTGCTGCAAACATGTCCTTAACAAGCCCGTGATTTTGATACTTGTGCTGTAATGCGAGATAATAACCGTGCAGTTTACCAAGCATAAAAAATATATTGCGTACCTTCACAAGTTGTGCTCTCACCTGGTGTATATGACCAAACCATTAAGTAAGGTCATAATAGGCTTGTGTCACTTTAATTGGACTTAGTGATAAATAGATAGGATTATCCCTCTTTCCCTGAGATGGATGAAGGGAGTGTTCCCTCTTCCCAGTAGGGGGTCCCCTCGCTTCCTTATGGATTTTCCTGGAGCAAAATGGATGGACAGAAATATCCCTCTTCCCACTAGGGGGTCTCCTTGCTTCCTTAGGGATTTTTCTCCATTAGGTGTATTGACCATGAAATGTAATAAAATAATATAGTGCCTTATCCTTTTTAAAATTAATTTATTTGAATAAAGTAGTGCACTCACATGTATTACAAGTTAAAACCGCATTAAAAGTTAAAATTTGAATCCACAGTGAGGTTTTTCCAATATTGTTGAATACTTGCTGTATGTTGCTTTAAGTGCCGTGACGTCAGAGCCCCTCCCCAACACAATTTTATTTAATTTTATTTGTATATCAAAATTTTTGTATCATTTAAATATTTATTAGCACTTTACATACACCATAGTAGCTCACAAGACCCCACACTAGTAAAAATTTGGAAGTGACGTAATGTATTTGTATTGTATTTTTAGATGAAAACTGTAGGGATTAAACCAAAATCATACAATCTGGTATTGTACTAGAAACATTTTTGTACTTTTCCCTTCAAATAATTTGGGATGAAAGCTGTGTACTAACGATCAGGTTATTGTACGATTTTCTGATTGTGTGTACTAGGCTTTAGACAGACCAGTAGAACAGAGGTCTAAAATGTAAGGTGATATAAACTGTAAGGTGATCTAAAATAATAATTAAAAGCAGAAGTCTATTTTGTGGATATTGTGTGCATATCTATTGTGGAATATGCTCTTTATGATTTTTGTGGGGATGGATCAAGAATGGATTTTTAGATTTTCCATGGTGTTTCTTAACCTGAGCAGCAAGAGTGTTACTTCCCTATTAGAGTTAAAATAGTAGCCAAGTTTTAAATTTGTAGGTTACACTTATGTTGACCTAGAAGCAAGTTATCTAGATAAGTCTATACTAGTTCCACTGGAAGGGTATGATTTATTTTGAGATCCTACATTGCAACAGAAAAAAATAAATTGACCTGCTGTATACCCTGTTTCCACTCTAGGGCACCCACTTTCTTGAGTGTAGGCTGATGGTGTGTTGATAGTAACACAATACTTGAAGATGTATTTCACGTGTTCAAAAATAATGAACAATTACAGTTTACATCATATGAGATCACGTCATAGCATATCTTGTAACAGTGGTGGGTTATGTTCTGTAAATTTTCCATTTTCTTGGTGATTTCTCATAACTAGTAGTCTATGTGTGAGGGATAATATCCCATTTTTCAATAACACCAGGGCCTCTTCCACCACTTCACATCACAATTTGTTCCACAGAGTGTTACTAGTGAGAAGGGATGCTATTGTTGTCTAGAGATTTAGACTCCCATCACGTGGGCAGAGCAGTTGAGTCTGTCAGTTTTTTTAGGCGGATCCAATCAGACATTCTCCTCTATGGAACTGTGTAAAAAGTCATGTGTAAATAGCCAAGGTGTTTCCCTTCCATCTAGAGGATTGGATATGATAGGTGTAAATGGACAAAGTGGTCCATTTACATTTGACCTCTCAAAGAGGAGAGCAGGCTGTGTCTGTGTCCACTCTGCATAAGCGGACTACAGATCTGCCTTCTCAGTGGGGATCATCATACAGATCCCCGATGAGCAAGTGAACTCCTTAGAGGGACATAAGCTGGCCGTAGATAGACCGAAAAGTTTCAGCAGGTACTAGCCAAATTTCAATCCATCGATCGATCTAATAATCACCACTTCCTGAACAGGACTGCTGGTAAATGTTCAAATTCAGACAGTGGAGGAGTCATGCTTTCAGAATACAGCAGTGCAGGCAGGATTTCCACCTCAAATGTATAGATGGGGCAATTTGTTCAGTTTTTTTTCCAACCAGCCTGCTTTCTGATCAAAAAAACTGACAATGATAAAAACAAATGAGTGTTATAACTTCTCTGAGGAGCTTTTCTGGTAAGTGATAGGGTTTCAGCAGCCTGTGGACCAGGGGCGGACTGACAACTCATGGGGCCCCCAGGCAATAGGGGATCATGGGGCCCCTGTGTCCTTGCCCAAACTCAAAAAAGCCTATGAAAAAGGTACCAGGGGCATCTCATGGGGCCCCCTACTGACCCCGGGCCCTAGGGCAGTGCCCGAGTTTCCAAATGGTCAGTCCGCCCTTGCTGTGGACACACTCCACAATCATCCCTCCTAGGGGCATGTCATGCAGCACCACAATTGTGAAAGTGGCTTTAAAACTCAGCTAGGCACTGTGATTCAGGTGTGCCCTGGGTTTTTTTATTGCAGGGGGAACAATCTTTTGGTAATCCCATCCTCACTGTTATTGGGTTATTGAGAGTCCACAAATTCAGCAAAGGTAAATGCAAATTCACTAATGTTATTCTCAATATGGCTTACTCTGACTCCTATGCCTTGTATTTCCATTTTAAGTTGATGCATAAGGATTAATTTTCTACATGGTGCGAGCTTTGCTGAGACTCAAACATCAGTATTTTAGGGTTGTGTATAAAACTGGTTGGTTTGTAGGAAATTCACTTAGAGTCTTGTAGTTCCCCGGAATCCTCTAATGAAACATTATGAGAGCTCACTGCAGGTTTAGGTAGGGATCCCCTCAGCTGCTCAGGTTGCACCTGAGAGCAGTGAATATTGTCCAGGGTTTTGCTGGGGAGAAGCAGCTGGATGAAGACACTGGAAACTCCCATTGATCTCTTAACTGGTCTGATATATGGAGCCTGGTCTCAGCTGGGCTGCTAGTGAAGAACGCAGGTTCAGGTAGGGATCCCCTCTGCTGCTTAGGCTCCACCTGAGAGCAGTGAATATTGTCCAGGGTTTTGCTCGGCAGAAGCAGCAGGATGACGACACTGGAGACCTCCCACTGATCTCTTTGCTATATATGTATTTATATCTCTTCTAAAAAGGCATTGTCCATAATTTTGAAGGGTGCCTTGGGACTGTCCATAATTTAAGGGTGCCTTGAGACTGTCCATAATTTAAGGGTGCCTCGGGACTGTTCATAATTTAAGGGTGCCTCGGGACTGTCCATAATTTAAGGGTGCCTCAGGACTGTCCATAATTTTAAAGGGTGCATTGAAAAAAGGTTGAGAAACACTGATCTAAGAGATGCTTCAGAGTTGCTTCAAAGTCGTACTCAAGTGGCCTGGCAAAGTCGCACTGCAAGTCGTGCGTCTTTCAGGTCGCAATAGTGTGAAGTGAGACTTAGGCTGCATCAGAATTCTTTCCAATATTTCCAATAAAAACAATCTGAATGTAATTTTTTGATGAGTTCACTACCATTAATTACCCTGTAAATATTTAACCTATCCTACTCTGCTCACTTTTAGGCGATCTCTGAAAACCTATCTCTTCAGGGAAGCCTATCCTGCCCTCAGCTAATAACAGAATCTTCTTTTCCTCCTACCAGTCCATCCCCCACAGTTCCTACCTTTTGTACCACTAGCCCCTCCCTCTTAGATTGTAAGCTCCAAGGAGCAGGGCCCTCCTTTCCCTCTTGTATTGAACTGTCTTGTTGCTGTATTGTCTCCCGTTATATTGTAAAGCGCTGAGCAAACTGTTGGCGCTATATAAATCATGAATAATAATAATAATATTTTTATTTGCATTTAAATATATATATATATATATATATATCTTCTATAAATGCACTGCTCTAATAAAATCTAAAATGCATTCATAATTTATATAGCATGCATACCTGATGCAACCGACCAGCATTTTAAGCCTCAACAAGGGTTAAATCAGCTGCAAAAAGTTATCATCAGCTCTTCCCATTCCTTTCCCTCCTCCTTCCCCATCTCCATTTGGAAAGAAGGTTGCTGTCTTTATGTTTCAACTGTAGCAAAAAGATTAAATTGTTTACAAGCTCAGAACCCTGGCTGGCTGGATGAGCTGCAAGAGACAAAGATAGACATTCTAATTCTCTGCTGTACTTTGTGCCTCCGTCCTCCTCTGCTAACACTAATTCTTTTATCTGGCCCCAACACTCCAGGCATTATGTGCATTCATAAAAAAAGAGGAAAAAAAAAAAAAGAACCGAAGCAGGCAAAATTACTGTTCTGTACGCTGTACCACTGATAACAATCTCTTGAATACTGATTACTTTTTTTCCCAACACAAAGCGACCAACACAAGTTGGTCTTTAACCCTTTATCTTTAGCAAGCAGAAAGACACAAGGAACATCTTACTCAGTTGGAAAAAAATAGCACACACACAAGAATTACTGTTATCTCCTAGCCAGAAGAGCAACAGCAGAGATAAGAAAAGCCTGAAGAATTAAAAGGGACATTGCATTTGGACTGTAAATTCATGCTGGAGCTGGTTCTATTTGTCTGTCACTGTGGTTCATAATTTTTCCAGGTTGTTTTGATAGACTTATTGTGAGGACTGCATAGAAAACTCATCAGCATTTGTTGCCTGTGAGCATTATTGTCAGTGGTAACCACATGCTTATAGACAGGGGAAGATAATGGTTGAAGTATAAAAGAGATAAAGGCGAAACCTCTTCTCATTAAGGGCTATCTCCACCTCTGCAGGCTCTACAGTATTGTGTGACTAGGACTAGTGCATTGAACATAAATTATAGCTAAAAAAAAAAGACTGAGGGCAGCATCATTATTTTGAAAAAGTTATAATGAAATGCCACAAGCTTAAGACCTATTTACTTCAAAGGCCGACAATAAATATAAAGAAAGCTTACACTGAAGTGACCAACATTGACTGTGTATTGATTGCTCCATTCCCAAAGCTTGCCTGTAGAAAACGTCTAAAACAAAGAAAATGTATTTGAATGTTTTCTTACAAGAGTTGGAATCATTTAACTTTTATTTTCTTTATTTTTTTTACAGAGTCTTCATTTAAAAAGGCCTCCGGCACAAAGAGTATATGCTAATAAAGCCATATGTAATTTCTGGATGTCTGCGCACTGCAACTCATATAGTGTTGTGCAATAAAAAATAATAGTAAGCAGATTGGGATGGCAATGATGACTTATAATTAACCTTCTCTGCAGCTTTCAGTACATGTTTTTATGCTCATTTTAAAGAAGGTTATTAGCAATTAAAATAACTGCCTGACCACACTGGTGGAAAAGCTGCAGTATTAGATCCCTTCCCCCTCTTTACCAGCATCCACTAGGTGGATCAGCTTTTCTCAACCAAGGTGCCCAAGCACCATGGGGTGCCTTGAGGTTTCTTCAAGGGTGCCTTGGCAAAATGTCTAAAAATTGCCCAAAACTTGTATACAAGCCAGCGGGTGGAACAAGCCTGACTTTTAGTTACTCAAAGCCATAGGTTTTCATTGTGCACCATTACAACCTTCTAGCAGCTGGTGTCCTGACAAACAATGGCATCATCCGTTGATAAGAAGAATGTCATCTGCCTGCACAGCATCCTAGTTTGACTCTCCACTTCCTCCTCTCCTTCAGTGCTGGGGTCACATTAGCTCAGTGATGGAGAAAAACTGAGGGAGAAGAGAAACACTGGAATACTAGTCAGTATCAGTAAAACACCTCTAACGTTGGGTGTCCTACATGTGTGGATGTTGCTGTGTTATATAAAAACTATTAGAATAGTTTTTCACAATATAGAATGGGGTGCCCTTTTAAAATGATGGGCAGTCTTGAAGCACCCTATTTTAGAATGGCGTGCCTCAAGACTGTGCACAATTTTAAAGGGTGTCTTGACTGAAAAAAGGTTGAGAAACACTGAGGTGCATCACTAACATAGTAATCCAACTCACAATACAACTTTCACTCAGGATTCACACATATTCTAATTGGATTCAATTAGATATATGTGTGAATCTTAGGTAAATAAAATATAAATAAACCCCCAAGTATAATTATGGGCAACACCGAAATTACATGTATGATGCAATAGGGTTGATTTACTAAAACTGGAGAGTACAAAATCTGGTGTAGCGGTGAACAGTAGCCCATTCAGCTTCTAATGCCAGCTTGTTCAGTTAAAACTGGAAGCTGCTTGGTTTCTATGATATTGATATAAAATATAAAAGTTAGGCCTTTAAACACATAATTATTTTCTGGGGTTTGCAAGCAAATATGTGTTATGTATGAACAAATATAATAATAATTATATATATATATATATATATAGTGCACAAATGTCAATTTAATTAAGAGTCCTCACACCATGTGTAATATATGATGCAGTGGTAGTCTCCGTGATGTTTTTAATTTTATGGTTGGTTTCTGTGCAGGGCTGCATCAAATTTTGCACTCTCCAGTTTTAGAAAATGAACCCCAGTGTGTATTAACACAGCAGTTTTCATTTTTCTGAGTTCCTACTGTGACATAGATGTACTGGATGTATAGTGGATGTTTTTTTTCTTCCTTTAATAGGGTGACACTGCTGCTCATTCTACTGTGAAATGCTACAGATGTGTTATCCCTGTGAACAGGAGAGTGTTAGCTGGACATTGGGGTTGGGGGTTGATTTACTATAATTGGAGAGTGCAAAATCTGGTACAACTCCACATGGAAACCAATCCTCTTCCAAGTTTTTTTTGTCAAAGCTTAATTGAACAAGCTGAAGTTAGAAGCAGATTGGCTACCATGCTCAACTGCACCAAATTTTGCCCTCTCCAGTTTTAGTAAATCGGCCCCGTAGTTTTAAATTGACTTTGAAATGTATCTTAACACACAAAAATAATATACTGCAACAGATGTGTTCGCTGTGTTAGTTTCTTCTTTTCCTAGGGTTTTTCTTTTCCTTTTTTCCCCCAGTAATCTTTTGAATAACACATATCCTCTCTTGGGGTTACAATGCTCACTTACTTCACTGTATTTTTGCAGGTAGACACGTTTGCCAGCCTATGGTAGCACTACAAACACATCTTCCTCTCTTCATCTCCATTACATGGTGATATTTTTATAGGAGACAGTGTAGAAGGAACATAACATTGTTTAGTATATCAGTTAAATTCACAGGAAGTTAAAGGGCACTTCTAAAAGGTATTTTCCGTTCTTGCTGAAAATGTTCTTAGCCTAAAAAAAATAAATAAAAATAATGCAGCCACTACATATAACAACTGGTAAGTTACAACAAATTGCATTTTTCTTTGTGGGTTTACTTTAGAAACCCTCAAAGTTAAATGTCTGGCTTCCCACTGAAAAGCTAGTTGCCTGGCTGTATTGT